GGGGGGCGAATTAGTTTGCCAACACACGACCACCTTGAATTTTTTTGTTTTCTGGTGTTCTGCACTCAGGTGAAGATATATGATAGATGGACTATAGTAAATCAAAGGTTCGATTCCCACCGCAGTCAAGCACTTCAGCTTGCCCGGCGTGGACACACTCAAAGACAACATCACAAACATACGTGACTACCTTTTGTACTAGCTGGAAATCGTACTTTTTGAAACTTTTGTGCCTTGAATTTTATGCAATAGATAGCTTAATTTAATTACCTATCAAATTACCAATGCTTTCATGGTCAAAAAGTCATTGTTACAGCTTTCTAAGAGAGACAGACAGCTCCCATACCTTGTATGTGTTTTGGTCTTATGGCTGGATTGAATGTGTCCGATCGCAGTAATCTAAAAAACATCTGCTGTTATATACGTTCTGAAAAATGTGACCGAAAAACTAGAACGCAAGCAATGAAAGATATTCAATTATACCTTCCTAACTCTTTTTCTATAACATCTAAGTTTGGTCTTCGGAACGTAATCCATGTTACGTTTGCAACGAAATTGTACAAATTCTGAGAAAACAAAGAACATTGAGAAGTTAATGAAGCTGAATTGTTGATCGTAAATACTTCTAAGGGGAAGTTGCGAAAGATTTGGTGATCATAAATTGTTATAGGCAAATTGTAACTTCTGCAACATATTATGCATGTCGATGAAAAAATAACAACCGCACAGTATTTCTCATTAGGTATGATAAAGGGTGTGTGTACTCCAAAAGCCTTTCAGATATTCCCCCTATCACAAAAGGCAGTGCATATCCAAGATTTCATAGTTTATGGACGTTTATGGCTCTTTTGACCGCTGCTTCGGTAAACGTCGGTCTTATTGTAGAGTGGACCCTCCTGCCAGATCAGCATTGGTCAACACTAGTCATTACCTCGTAAAGATCACGGTCTCTCTGCGTTGCAGAATTTCGTTTTCTAAAAAATATAAATTTTACAGCTGTGGATATCAAAATATGAATAGGCTAGAATTATGCTAAAAAACGTCATGCGTTAACTTGATTTTAATTTGATTTAATTTAAAACAATCTTTTGTGAAGAAGCCTTATCATCAGAGATGGTTTTCATAAGAGTATGAATGAACGATTTATTGATTTGGTTTATCACAATACAAATAAGTAATAGTTAATATACAAGTAAATGTATAATAATAAAATGTTATTAGAAAGATATGTAAGTTGATAGAAGAAACAATAATAATTGTTTTTACAGGAAGTAGTACACACCTTCCACAATGCATGTGGTGGGCGTCCTCCAATCCTAGACCAAGTACTAGCACGCCATAACATTGAGCTAACGATCTTTTTGCTTCCTCTTCTTTACTTAATACCAAGGCTATTGCCTTCTTTTCTGCCACACTTGGCTGTCTGCAAGAAATCTGTGCTTCAAATTTGGGAAATAGTTTCATCGTTTATGAAAAGTTTTTATCTTATATTTTTTCTCGACGTGTATTCCATCCTCGTCCCCAGGCCCAAGCTCGGGCGGCCCTCACCAGCCTAGTCCCTAGGCCTCTTAGTACGCCTATTGCGCGTTTCTGCATATTAATGAGGTGACGGCTCCTGAGAGGCCTAGAATAAAATGTTTCAAGTGAGCCAAAAGTGCACAGGGGGCAGAAAAGTACGATTGTGTTTTATAAATACCTTGTCATCAACCAATATCCCATATTTATATTTATACAACAATCCGCAGACATAGTCATAAAAGGATCAAAATTAGCTGATTTTTATTTTTTCGATAATATCATGGCTTCTACTTCATGTAATTCAAACATATTGCATTGCAACGACAATTTCCGAACATCTTACGAAAGGATGCCGAGGGTGTACCCGTACATAAATAAGAAAGGGATGAAACGCCGAAAATCTTTCGTTCAATGTGCACCGCAACAACTGGTGACGGAAGTAAATTCGACATTGTAACCGGAAGTAGAACGGAAGTTGAAGGAAAATTGACCTATCATCTTCCATGACCTTTTAATCGAATTAACGGTTAATAATTTGAATGACAATAACAAATTTTAAAAAATATTGCAAAATTCAAACTCAAATTAGTCAAATATTAATATGGGACGTTTTGTCAACTAAAAGAAATGCGAATCACCCGATTCAAAAGCAACAAACGCTCTTGTATCTAGACGGTATAAAGCTTTTCAATAATTTTAAAACAATTGTTCTTGAATCGATCAACTGTACGTGAATATATCCACGACTTTGAACTTTGTTTAATATGATGACTGTATAAATCCAAACGGCAGTCTTTACAAAACCCGGTCACGATTTAAACTCGTCTTCGCCGTGTGTGCAGACTTAAGATATATCAATAGACTATTTAAATTCAAAAATAAACTATACATGCACTTATAGACCTTATTCATAAATCGTGACGAGGCCTCGTATCCTAGGATACGAGGCCTCGTCACGATTTATGAATAAGGTCTATGGGGCGAAAAAAATGGCAGTAAATTTAAATAAACTCTGAAACGGTTTCGTTAATTCGGTTAATATAGACCTTTTTGTAGTATAAATACCGGTGCATTTTGGCTTGTATTTTGTAGGCTTTGTACGAATTATCAAATAAGTGACAATTATTTCAATAAGTGACAATTCAATTCAAGGTCTTCAAGGGGAATTCAATTCAGTGACAATTCAATGAGTGACAATTTATATGAGCATATTGTTTATATTTTGAAACTGTATATTATAAATCATAAAAATACTGTATGAGCTTGTCATATATTTAATATATACGTATGACTAATAAATATAAATCAGTTGGAAAAATAGTTTTCGTCATGCGCAATATCTTTTAAGTGCGTAACTACGTCACTTCCGTCACCACCTGTTGCGGTGCACGTTGAAACAAAATAAGCCAAAATTGTAGTCCCAAAAATTTCGGTATAATAACCGTTTCTAAAAATTTCCTTGTACAGGTATGCTAAGTGTATCATATCTAAACTGTATACAAAAAATAAAAGGTTTTGGTTCAGAAACACGCCAGTTATATCCATTCGAAATATTTCACGATCGGGGGTTTCATCCCTTTCTATTATTTATACGTGTAAGCAAAGTCAGTCGTTCTAGTATGAGCCCACGCTACTATGGTCAGTCCTTGTAATACAATGTTTGAATTACATGAAGTAGTAGGCATGATATTATCGAAAATCAACATAATTTTCATCGTGATGAAACCTGGATGAAACTATGCGATGTATTGGTTGATGACAAGGTATTTTAAATAAACACAATCGTACTTTTCTGCCCCCTGTGATTGAACGAAAGATTTTCGGCGTTTCATCCCTTTCTTATTTATGTACGGGTACACCCTCGGCATCCTTTCGTAAGATGTTCGGAAATTGTCGTTGCAATGCAATATGTTTGAATTACATGAAGTAGAAGCCATGATATTATCGAAAAAATAAAAATCAGCTAATTTTGATCCTTTTATGACTATGTCTGCGGATTGTTGTATAAATATAAATATGGGATATTGGTTGATGACAAGGTATTTATAAAACACAATCGTACTTTTCTGCCCCCTGTGCACTTTTGGCTCACTTGAAACATTTTATTCTAGGCCTCTCAGGAGCCGTCACCTCATTAATATGCAGAAACGCGCAATAGGCGAACTAAGAGGCCTAGGGACTAGGCTGCTTCAGCCGTGGAGACAAAATGCCCTGGGGACGAGGTTGCTGTCGAATACACGCATCCTCGTCCCCAGGCCCAAGCTCGGGCGGCCCTCACAGTGGCCCTGGGTCAGGCTGTTGAGCAGTTGATTGTGATTGGTTCTTTATTTTAAATAAACACAATCGTACTTTTCTGCCCCCTGTGAAAGTGGGGACAAAGTGTCCCCACTTGCTGTATTGAGATCAGTGGCTTGCGAAAATGGCGCCGTTCTCATGAGCGAGTAAAATGTTTATAGATTTGTATCAAATTGACTTTTATATTTGCGACAAGTTGGATTAAAATTTTGTGGTTTTAATATATATTGAATACAAGCAGTGGCACATAAATTAATATACTGAAAAGACAATGTAGTAAAGCGGAATTGATGCTAACAAAAAGCAAGAAATCGGTGAGAAATATTTTTAAATATAGAAGGTGAGAATTTATTTATCGATATCCTGGGATACCTCTGCTGTATAAATGTAGAATATTAACTAAATACATGGTAAATATAGTAATGATATTTATCAATGCACTATTGAAATGCGTGTATTCACTTGTGTTAACAAGAACGTTTGAATATTTGCGAGCTTTGCGAATTTATAGATCAAAATATAGATCTGTTATGTACTTGCCAACAATTTTTATTTTATAATTTTTGTTTGATGTTTAGGAAATGTTTTACCTGTGGCAGAAAATTTAAATGGTGCCATACAGGCATATACAGGGACAGTTGTCAAGAAAATATATAATTAAACAAGGTCATATTTGAAGAATTTGGTGAGTGGTATTTGTGAGTGACCAAGTTCAGGCAAAAGACATATTGGACAACATGGATGTACATAATTTTGCTGTTCATCTATTTCGTCAAGTCAGGAAATGGCCGAACTACAGTCTGCATAGTGTAGTATACCCATAAAAGTACTCATTTTTTTGGGGGGTGTGTGGGAATTTTTTCATTTTACTATAAGATAGTATTGTAAAAGAGTCGGGTGATGTCTCAAGATTCGTCGCAAAAAGCGTTCCCGGACGGGGGGGACTTTTTTTTGGGTGTGGTCCTAGGCGTGGTCGGGCGACGTGCGCCGTGCGCCGGTGTTTTTCGTTTTGCGCATGCGCGGCCGAGATGCGTCTCCGAAGCCGTGGTCGACCGCACTGATCGGTTTTGAATTTGGCGCGCGACTTTATTATGTTACAAGGGGCGGAGCTTACTTTGACCTTTCAACTAGCTTACTTTTTTCAATCGCTTAAAAGTTGACAATGTGTTTTGTAACCCTAATAATTGTGCAGTGTTAGTGTAAGGTAGATAAAAGCCAAATAATTACAGTAGTGATTGTCTGGCATCTGAACATGTAGTTTCGGTGTGGCGGAATGGTAACGCGTTGGGGAGTAAAAGTCCCAAGTCAAAGTGGGTTCGATTCCCACCTAAGATAATGCTGCATGTTCAGAGTCAGACTACATCATTTTATGTTTGGTTCTGCTATGGAGTGTACGTGTACTTGCGAGGAGGACAATTGTTTGTGTAATTGCCAGTGTGTTATTTGTAATATGATTCGTGAATTAGATGCGAAAATAGAGCAGCAAAGGAAACGAGATAGGGATAACAAAAAACCTGTGACAAGCCGGTTTTGTCAGTGTTCTCAACAGGGTTGGTGTTATTGGTGTTAAGACTTTGTGTTCTTCTGTCTGCCGTGAGAGATGGATAAAAAATTAAAATGTGAAGTTGAATGGGATCGATTAACGATGTTGTTTGAGGAAAAACGAGCAAAAGATCTGATTATTATGCGTAATTCGGATGCATTTTTATCGTTTCAACAAAAATTGGGTGACGGTGAATTAACGTCGTGGCAATTGTGGCCCGAGTTAATTGAACCCCTAGAACGGAACAGACTTGATATCTCTCATTACTTGTATACGGCGGAAAAATTGGGTACGTCCGGTGAACAACCTATTTTGGATGAATTTATAAAGTTTCTGCACGTTACAAGCCGCTGCGGTGTTCAAACGGAAATACAGGAGATGGCTAAGAAAATTGTATATTCGCCAACACCGTGGAAAGTATAAAAGATAAATATTTCATTAATTGTTGTTATTAACGATGGGGAAACGTTGCAGTGTGGTGGTTTTAAAGAAAGGGGCGCGGGTAAAATTATGCGGGCAGAAAAAAATACAGAAAGGTGCGGGTGGTGCGGGCTTCAATTGGAAAACTTTAAAACAGCTTCCGAGAGTGTATAGAAAAGTTAGGGGAAAAAAGAAAAGATAAAAGCTTCCACATGGAAATTTGTGCTTAAAAGGTGTTCGGCGCGAGTGTTTCCTCAATCGCTGAATTTTGTTCACAAAAAGCATTAAATGAAAATCAATCTGTTAAAATGGCGAACCAACAAGACAATTTGAACTACAGTAAGCTGAACTACGAGTGTGGCGAGTGTCCGAAATGTACAGAGGCCAAAACTTTGTTTGAGGGTGAAAATTCTACCTTAGCCTATAACGACGATGACGGTTGGTTCGACGACGAAGATGAAGATTTTCATTTTACTGAGGGCAATAAGTGGTTCGAAGACGCTTGGGAGGCCGGGTTGCGGGAAAAGGAGGAGATGCGCCATGGTTGGAAGAAGGCTCTCGAAGGACATTTGAAGGATGTTGCAGCAAGCTATCAAGCCGCAATGGAGAATCTGGCTGTGACGCAGACAGAATTTGAGACATTGGAACTAGAATTACGTACTGAGACTGAGACTGTTGAGACTATAAAATAGAATAGTAGTTTTTTTTGTATTAGTTTATGATGGCCGGTGTGGCGGAGGGGTTGAGTAATGTTAAAATATATACTATTGGGGAAGCAAAAATTGTGTATGTTTGTAATGGTACGGGTTGCGTGCAGCGCGTGGTGGCGGGTCGGCGAGACGCGCACATCCAACAGCCTGCTATATTGATACAATGTAGCGAATTGCAGGAACCGCATTATTTGTTTGATTTGCAGCAAGGTGAATATATGCGTGTGTTGACTGAAAATTGTATTGGTAAAGTCAGGTTAAATCGTTTGGCTATTAAAGTTACAAGGGAACAATTTGAGGGTGCGCAAAGACAACCACATAAATGGGAACTTTGTTATACAGTGGTTTAATGTAAGTTTACACTACATTGCTGAGTTTACATTCTATCATCATTTTAATGTGTTCACACACTTCGCCGTAGGGTTTTACTTTGCCATTCGGACATATACTTCTGATATGTATTGAGTAAAGCTTGGCTGGGTCGAACTCTTTGAGGATTGCGTAGTTGTCTACGCCGCTTTTGCGTTTATAATCAATTTTCCAATAAGCCAGAAATTGATGAAAATATATTTTGGTTTTTTCCCAGTTTTCGTTGATCAATTGATCTGCATTGCGTGTGAACGAGACCAGATCCATACAACGCCTATTTTTGTTCAATTGCTGTTCGGCTGTTAGATAGGCTAAGATATTGATGAATAATTCCTGCTGATCTTCTACGGTTCCGGTCCAGCCGTTGGGCTTGTCACACATGCTATAAAAAAAACACAATATTTTTAACCTTATTTGGTCAAAAAGGTTTTGTTGCTAGACTTCAGTTTTAACCTTATTTGGTCAAAATTGCCTTGCGCGGGTTTGTTAAAAGCATTGTTTTTTTCAAAGGTTTTTAAAGTTTTCAAAATGATGTCTGGCATGGTACCACCATATGTAAAGTATGTTTGTTACGAAAATGACACGCCAAAAACTTTTTGTGCTTTTATGGCGAGTAATAGTAAAGATTTAATTGAGGGTTTTCGATTGCAAGAGAATACCTACTTTGATCACGCGCTGAATTTCATTGTTGCTGGCGAGCCCTATACATGCTTGGGTTTGATCTTTCCCGGGGAAATCATGCGCTTGTTGGGGTAAGAATTATTTTTTAGATTTTTTTATTTTAAGAATTTTTTATTGAAATTGCTTTATTTTTTAGACCCGCAAAAGAAAAGATGCCGAGTGATGTATTTGCAGCCAAGGTTACAAAGGATGAAGCGTCACAACTACATAATTTGGGACCTACACACAATATATTTTTATCAGAGGCTTTAATGACAGTTAATAATTTTACATAAAACAATTGTAAAACAAGCTTTATAATTCATTTTTACAAAACCTTTGAAGTGTCGTGTTTGTTTTTTAAAAGATGTGTACCCCCTGGGAAATGTATGCGAAACAATGGTTGGAAACGCAGTTTATACAGCATGGTAAAGATGAAGTTGATAGCGAATATAAATGGGATTTGACTTCTTTAATTTATAAACTGGTCGGCAAGGGTGTTATACCCTGGGATACGCGTCACGATCAAAAAATTTACGAAATATTGTGTTTGCAAATTTCGAAGATGGTCTTGGAACTGTTGCAAATCCCTTCGTACGGTATCATATTGCCCGAACATAAATATCTCCCCATGAGCACACACGGTGTTTTGTGTGAGGTCAAGGATAAATTGACAGTTGCCTGTACGACATTTGAGCGGGAAACGGGGGTAAATATCGAACATTATCATCGTATACGAACAACAAGCGATAAAAGACCAAAATATCCATCTTATATTTTATCTGGTAGAGTTACAAAGCGTAAAAGGTTAGTTATTTAAAAAATCTGTCAATAGTTGTTTGTTTTTTTTCCTCTTTGTTTTTTTCTTGCAGTGTTTTTATTGTATTTTGACCGCACGGTAGCAGCAGGTCTTTGCGTTGAGATAGCCATTGTAACCCGATTTGATTTATCGTGACATCGTCGAGGGGTTCTGTTTTCGACCCAAAGATTTCGCCAGTATTTATATACTCATACTTGTATTGCCCATCGCAATATTGATAGCCCGTATACATAAACTGGGGTCCTTCTTCCGTGTGCGCTGCTTTTGTTTCGCGTTCTACTTGTTTCCTTTTTTGGGAGAAGTGATAAATCCCCATTCTACATTGATCACAAAACTCACCCAAATTGGGACCGTCCGGTTGCTGATCGCCGAGAAAGCAATCCCCATGTTTACAATGCCAACCATTACAACATGCACTTTGAAACATTTTGATTTCTTTAGTGAGATCCATACCTTGATTTTTTGTTTTTTCTTGCTCTTCCTTTTGACTTAGCTTGTCCTTTTTTTTGTTTCTAGATCTTCTCGAGCGTAATTTTATACGTTTTTATCTGCCATATATGGTCAAAAATGGTCGGGTTAAAATTTTATACAAATCACGACGTTGTGATATATGCTAAAACAGTAACAGCTGCGGAATTTAAACAAGCTTTGGAATGTGTCGTGGGTGGAGATTGTTTGTCGAACGGTTTAATATTTTCAGCAGATGGTTTTTGTCGACAGGGGGTTTATGTGCGTAGATTTTGGGAGTATTTTACGATACACGAACCTTACGATATAGCCGCGCACGTGTATTTATTTATTGCTTATTTTCAAGTTATCGGTGTTCTACCGCAACAATTTATTTTATCGGGTATTAGGAGTGAGTTGAAAAGAAAACGTGATGATGACGAGTATTCTGAGTCGTCCAAAAAATTGGTCGGGTAATGTGGATGCGCAGAACGAATTGTTTGTACATATAGCTGTACGTTATATGTGGCTACGTGTAAATCAAATACCTCCGCTCGGTGTTGACGCTCATAAATGGCTTACAGTGGTACCTGTGCTAATGCGAAATGATTGAGCTGTGATGGAAAATGCGCATCGGGAATGCGTGACTCAGTTTGGGGAACACTTGCTTTATAGACCGCTGCAAACCTGGTACGATTGGGAAAGTTTATTATTGGTAGCCCGCAGTAAAATACGTTTTGCGACTTTTAAAACCCAAGATGACGCACCGCTTGTAACATTTGATTATCGCTGGCAAGAAAATGGTGCAAGAATGTGTATAAATCCTGAAGATGCTGAACAATTACGACAGCGCATGATGATGACGGGTGATAAATATGAGTGTGTAGATAATTTGTTGGATTATATATTACTTTTAGAAGATTAAAAAATTTTTTATTTCATTGTAAATCTACGTTGTTGTTACAATAAGGTTGTCAGTTTGATCCTCTATTATATATTTTCTAACTTTTGTTGTTGTTTGTGCATTGTTCCAGTCTTGTACAGTTATTTTGCGCGCGATTCTTGCCCAATTTTCTTTCTTCTCGGAGTCTGGAGTGGCGGCGAATTCCTAAGAAAGAGAGAGAAATTTAGTTTTGAAAGACATTTTAGATTTTTTCCTCGTTAGTTTAAATTTACCTTGTTTATGAAAGCAAATTCGCCGGGGTTCAACATTAGGATAAATGTACATTCCTCTACGTGGGTCATAATTCCAAGACCGTCGATGGGATTACGAAGTGGGTCGTGAAATGGGGGTAACAGATAAAAGGGTACGGATATTTCACCCCTGTTGTACAGATAAGTTCGTTTGACACCACCCAATTTTATGACTGGTCGTTCCTCATCGTGATACGATGTTAACGCGCCGGCATGATGGCGCGCTTCATAATTCGTAGAGGCGGTAGAGGCGCATACATTTTGTGTTTGACTACGAGTTACCATAGGGTGTCTTGACATGTTGAATAGTGGTGTAAAAATGACTAACCTTTAGGTCAATTGGATATAGACACCTTGCTCTTGACAATGTTCTAGCTGATAACGTGTCCAAGTAGGCGACATAATGGAATAACATCGATGCCCCTTTGAACATTGGTAGGGTAATTGCGCGATCAAAAGAATGCTTTGTCCCGGTTTTAATACGCATTGATATTCACAACCTTCACAATGTGTCGGAACACAGCGTAAAAAAACATTGTCGCCAGGCCAAAGTGGCGGTTTTCCTTCCTGATTCATAAGATATACATTATACAAACGTTTTGATGAATTGTAAATTACATATCGTTGATTTGTAAAATCCAAATGTGTGTGGGTTGCACCCACCAGCGATGTAGGTAACAAACTCATCGTGTTAATTTAAGTTTTGGAGTATTGTGTGTTTTTAAATAGGTTGATTTTTGCCATATATGGTCAAAAATGTTAAAAAATAATGTATAAAAGTACAAACAAATAAAAGGTTATACAAAATGATAGCTTTATTGGTGTTCATTGGGTGTATGGTCTTTGTCGCTAGCATACTCTTTTCTATAATAATTTTTGAAGCGCTCAATATATTTGGGGATGGCTGGTATGTCGAGTAAACGTTGTGTTGATGAACAGCTGAAGAATTGGACAGCTGAAGAATTGAAAGCGCAGGGCGTGGGTATCTACCCTGAAAGGGAATATGCCTGTGAACAATGTAGAGGGGTGGCGATATTTGATGATCATCATGATGCGCTATGTGATTTGACACCCGAGCAATTTGCGAAATTGAGGGTGATGGCTGAAGATGATGATGATGATGATGAGCGGGGTGAGAGATTGAAAAATTACAAAGAAAACTATGCGGAAACGATGACCCCGCTTGAATATTGGTTGTATTGCAGAGAGCAAGAGGGTAAAGGAGATTTTACCCCAACCACCTTTGCTGATGATGATGAAGAGGATGATGATGATGATGATGATGATGATGAGGAGGTGGAGGTTGTAGCTACAGAGAAAAAAACATGGTTTTACCCAAATTCGGAGGGGTTATACTATTGCGACATTTGTGGAAACGATCCCGATCAACCCTGCGAACACACCTCACCCCCTTGTGAAGATTTGGGGCATCTATTTGGTTCCAATTGTAAAACTCAATAACTTTTTAATAAACAGAAAAAGAACAGATATAAAATAAATAATAATACGATAAGAGAAACAATAAATTTTACAATTTTCCCTGTTACGTTAATCATATCTACTATTTCTTGTTCGTATGTTTCTACCGATAATGAAAAAAATTGATTATTAAAAATAAAAATAGTTTTTTTTTCTCTGTTCACGGTCTTAGTTTTCTGTAAGTTTGTAACATTGTCCACAACATCTTCGGCTTTGTTGACGCATGTTTTGGAAGCAGTAGACATACTCGGTTTGAGGCGTTGTTTTTCAAAATGGTCTCTTCGTTGTTCCCAATGATTTTGGCTACTAGTCCACTGTTTCCGCGATAGTAGAGGCGATTGTTTTTCTTTGACTTTTTTTGCGTGATGTTGCTCGTGTGCTTTACGATATTCTTCGTTTGCAAGTTGGCAGGCGTTGCAATCTGGCTCGCAAGAACAACCAACGTATGTACACCGACTAGTCGACATTTTTTTCAAACTTTAATTTCAACGCCCTTTATAAAAGATAAAATGTAAGGGTGTGTAATTTTAACCATATATGGTCAAAAATGGTTGTTTGTAGTGTTTAAATAAAGCCGAGCATGGGTATGTTTCACTTGACGTGGGAAAGTTGACAACTAAACTATGCAAAATCAATTTTTAATTTCGCCTTGCTTTTTAGCAGGCGGTAAAAATCAAAAAATGAATATTCCCCAATCCCCGTTTATAACATGTTTTTGTACTAACCCTCAACGCGCAATATTTGGGTCTGCGAATATCTGTACAGGGTGTTTAAAACTAGAAGAGCGTTTATTAATACAAGCATATCGTGATTTGGTCACAGATACACAATTGCAACTAACAAACGAGCATCAAGAAAATCTTTGGTTATGGCTACAACAGCATATAAGTGTACATGTGCGACATGCAAAAAATGGTTAAACCCTCCCGAGGGTACGCTACGTGTATTGGTCACGTGTTGGGATAATCGGTGCGTGTGTGAACGGGATGTTAATTTGGAAGGCGAATTAATTGGGGGTGTATGGCAGGTGTATTACCGATGTGCAAGACGTGGGTGTGGTTACAATTTAAATGCTTTTGCCGAGAATTTTCAACAACAAAAAACTATTTTGAGTCACTGTGAAGACTATTTAATCGATTGTGAGACTTCTCTGTGTGATTGTGGTAAAGTTGCGGGCTATTCCATAGAAGCTGTAGAAGGTTTGGGCTTGCAATTGTTTTATGTTTGTCGTCTGGGAGTATGTCAGCTGCATCAGAGTACGTTGGAAAGGAACGCATTAAATTTACGGGGAATTCGTTGTCTGTGTCACAAAACATGTATTTTGAAGGATAATTTTTATATTTGTCCCGATGCAGACAAAGATACGTATTGTGGTTATTGGGTTGCAGAACACGATTCAATTACACACATGCATGTTCAAATGACACGCGATTCATTATTGGATCACGCATATTTAGCGTTTCCAAATAAAGCGCAAAGGGTTTGTGATAAACCTGGACGTTTAAAATTTAAATACGCTAGTGATTATAAAAATGGGCAGTTGGGTTATATATGTGGGGATAAAAATTGTAATGTATTTAAAACTGATATCTTGAATTTTTATTAAAAAAAAAAAATTACTTTTTTTTGTGTATTGATATGTTGCTAGTGTATCCCTCATTGCTTTTCTTGCCAATTCCTCTTCACCGGCAACGATTCCGCCCAGTTGTTTGCGCTGTGGCTGTGCCGCGTATCGGGGTTGTTGAATTTGACCCCGTAGCGGGTAGAGTGGTTTTTGAATTTGCCCTCGTAGCGGGTACCGTGTTTTTTGAATTTGTTTTGGTTTTTGGTTTTGTAAGGGTTTTGCCCTTACCTGTGAACTTCTAGAACTATTATTAACG